TCTCCCATTAGAGATGCTTGATTTCATATTAATATGTATGTATATGTGTACATTAATATATATGTATATACACCGCCTAAATCTGTTCCACATTTCCAGAATGGGTCCTACATGCCAGAGCAGAGAACAGTTACTCTTTTTTTGGTGCAATAGCTATTTTATAAGAAACTGGAATATGAGGGCACTGAACATGAAAACTCCTAACAGGCTTGAGGCTAGGACACCCGCTTTCAGGTCAGCTGCTCATGTGCTTTGTGTCAAGGACTTCAAATAATCAGAGTTTTCATGATTTGTATGTGTATCAGTATGTGCTTGTCACTTCCTCCAGAGTTGATGACTTTCTAAGCATCTGTGAGGAGGAAAATCCTGTCAAAATACCGCTTCTAAATGACCAGAACTAATTAACAGTCACTGCTTTTTTTTCTTCCTCTGCATACTATGCATTTAGATAAAAGGAGATCTTCACAAAGCTTGATGACGGTAAGGTAGGAATAGGACTTGTATTAAACATACATTTGCTCTAAGGAGTTAAAAGTAGATCTGACAGTATTCTTATACGAATTAAACCGTCAACAGTGCAGTTGTTAATGTTTTTCTTTATAATTTTGTAAGAACAAACCCTAATAGGATCATAATTTATATAATAGAACTAATGTTTGAAATTAAAACACAGTCCTTAATCTTACTGTTTTTTCATGGTAAATACTATTTAAATTTAGTCTGTGAAGTATATTTTGTTGCAGGAGGCCTAAATTATTTCACAAATCCGAATATTAATTTTCGCGTGAAGCTTCTGAAAATACAATTGCGAGCAAAAGTCAACTATTTGGATGTGCAATTCTGTCATGGGAAAGAGGAGTGGAAATAGCTCGCGCCGGTCCAGTCCTTGCGCTTCCATTCCAGAGCTGTCGATCCTAAATGGGCTTTGTTTTGCCTTGCGAAATCACAGCCACCATTTAGCATATTATGAAGAAGAACGTTTCATAATGTTATGTACTGTATTGACTGATTCAATAATTTAGGTGGTGTTGATTGTAAAAAAAAACCAAACCAAACCAAAAAACCCAAGGGAGCTTGGCATTAAGATACACACTGAGTTTAGTGATAAACACCGCATTGAATTTATTGTGGACAAATAACTAAAACCTGCAAATCGATTAGGAAATTATGATGAAGCATAAAAACATAAAAGCAGTAGAAAACAAAGACAAAAGCAGTTTTTAAAATACTGCGAACTGCTAATTAGCACTGCTGAGAGTAATGCTGCTCAGGGACTTCGTCTGTAGTCGGTGGACTACACCCAAACCCCGGGGTAGCTGTTCTCCATACTTAAAGATTCAGGTCTTTTGTTTAATCTTTTCACGAAACCCAAAGTCCAGTGAAACATTGTTGGGACAGAGCTGATGAAAAGATCAGGAAGCTGGGAAGCACCTGTGTGTCCTGTAGTTTCACCATAGCCAAATAAAGATTCGCCAACAAAAAATTCTGCCCGTTTTGTCCATAAAAGGAGGTTTTAGGTTGCAGAAAAATCACTGCAGATGCTTGCGATGGAGGGAAGCATCCTGCAGAGGGTCACTTAACGGAGTCTCGCTTAATTCACAGAGTTCAGTGTTGCAGAGTTATAATTAGCCCCGGGTAGTGTGAGAGGGGGCTGAGTCAAATTTCAGTCTTATTCTTCATTCTGATGCCAGTGGCCATTTGACCCTGGGAAATTTTAGGCCTTAATTTTTTGCACTAATAAAACGGGGCTTCTCTAGCCATCGCAGGGAAGTCTCAAATGAAAAGCAACATTTCACTTAATTAGTAAAATTTATTCTGTGGCTGCATCTAGTAACGTTAATCACTTATTGAGCATTAAAGTAAAAACTGCAAAACTCCTTTCATGTGAAAGGAATGCATTGGGGGTGACCTGTGCACCTGAAGTGCTGCTTAAAAGCTTTAAAAAGCAATATAAAATTTGTAAAAGGTAGTGTGAATAATGTTGCTTTAGAAACGGGTTACTGATAAACATTCCTGTTCAATAAAGCTGGACCCAGGGGTTAAAGTTCTTTTGTGACTACTACTTAGAGGGCTGGTAATTGTCTGGTTAATGGTATATTTTGCTCATTCAAGCGAGAGGTAGTTTGTTGAATACCAAATAGTGGGACCGAAGCCAAACAGAATTTGCCCTGATAAGCTTGAAAACTCCCTGCAAGCTGCAGAATGTGCTTCAGATTCACTAAATAGAAGTCTTTGTCATGTTTAAATATAAAGACAGGAGGCAGGGTTGTAATTAAACCCATCGGTTTTGCAGGGTGGGGGGTAGATGCATTTGAGAAAACTCGTCTCTGCGTATTTCTGCGTTATGGCACTCTCGGTTTTTTGGGAGGCACCAGTCTTGTCAGCATAGCACCTTCTTCCCAGTGTCAGTCAGTATTTGTGGGAGCCAGAAAAGATGTATTGGACTCACTGCGTCTTGCTGTTCAGTCTCGGTGAGTAGATGTTTCTACACAAAGAATATCCTCTTGCTAACTGTGGTCCATCCAACTGATGGAAAGCAGCAGTAGGTTTCATAAATTCTTGTAGGGTAAAGTTTCACGTGCCAATCAGCCGATTGAGCCGGTTGTTCTCAGTAAATGGGGGACATCTCGTGCTCCCTGTTTTCTGCTCTTCCCTGCTTTGCTCCCAACCTCTGTGGTGTTGCTGCCCCGTCTTTTCTTAACGCTTGTTCTGGCTCTGCTCGTGATTCTCGGTAGAGCTGGCTTAGATCTGGTTTTGCTTTTTCTGGTAACTTTCTGCTGGTTTAGTGCATCCAGTTGACTTGTGTGGAGGTTGACTGGTTGTCCAGGCTGGCAGGTAGAAGAGGAGGAGTGGAAATGACACAAAAATAACCAGATCCCTTCCACAGGTAGCAAGCTGCTGCGTCCCCTCGCCTTATCTAATGAAATCACACTCTGTGTAGTGAAAATGGGAGCAGGGTTGCGAGAGGACCTGGAACTGCTGGTCTCAAGTGCTAACTTCAAAAATAGTAACTTTTGCTTCTGTTTCTTGACCTCTCATTCCCCTTTATCAACCCCTTTTCCTCCTACTGATGCTTCATTGAAAACAATATTTCCCTAGTCATTAATAGCTAAAATGTGAAATGAATGAAGCGGGATTCACTCTTAGTCAAGGAATCAAGAGATGTTTCAGCAATGAATTAGTGATTGCTCTGGGAAAGAAACTCAGATTCTTCAGGGCATGGTGAAATGCTGATGGGAATAATAAAAAGGAAGAGACCAAGTGGCCAGAAGAATGAGAAATGGAGAAGGTCGTGTCTCTGCATTTCCAGCAAGGGCAGCGCTGGAAGAAACAAGTGAGAAATGTGTTCACTCCTAAGTACAGGGAAAGATGATGCAAACCAGCCCAAGAGCTGATCTGGTTGAGAAATGATGGAGAAATAAGTATGTGGTTATGAGTCAGTAACTGATGATTTTCTGTTATGGATGGAACAGCACCAGTATTGGCAAAACCATAGTTGAAAAATTACGCAATATGAAAAACTGCAAATCTCAAGTCACTCTTGTCTTGTTGCTTTGAATTTTTAGTTGATGCACTTCAGAAGAAAGGTGATGTTTTTTTAGAAATACGGCTAAATGAGGAAAGTCTTAATGCTAGTTTTAATTCTAGTAAATCAAGTCTAGTTCTACTAGGCCTTTTCTTGTTGCCTTAGCCAGGTGATGCAGCTTGCTTTACATGCATGCTGTGCCCCTATTTGTTATTGTAGCTACAGATTTGTCATCCCTGCCATCATATTAAAATATTAGTAACATGCATTTGTAGGATCAAATAGACTTTGGACAATCGGACGATGCATTATGTACAAAGTGTTGAGCTGATGGATTTTACTGCTGTCTTGTGGGGGATCATTTGGAGGAATATGCTGAATGTTTGGTTTTGCCCACTTCATTCTCAGTCTTATGGACACTGCTTTCCCCTGGAGAAGGCAGATATTTGCTAATCCAATGTTCTTCTGTTGCTTTAGTAGTTCTGATGCTGCACTGTTAAAGGCAACATTGTGCTCAAGGATGAGTCTCCTCTTTAAATAAAATAAAAAAACAGAAGCCAGCAACCCTGTGTTTTCAAAATTAATTGTAAATATGGTGCCAAAATATTCTCCCATGCAGTCTTGCTGTCTCAGCATAATTCTTCTCTGTACATGACATGCAAGCAAGAAAAGCCTGAGATTTTGTTTCTGCCAGGCTGCTGTGTATTACTAACGTCAGCAGTAGTACTAGTGTTGCTTCAGCCAGAACCTTCCCCATTCCGCTTACATCCTCTCTGCATCGCCTCCTACCTCAAGCTCTTAGTAGGTTCAGACTTTTTCCAGCTGCCTTGCCTAAAGTACTGATAATTGACCTAAAATCAAAGTGGTTTTTGGTTTTGGGTGTGAGGGCAGAGACTTAATGTGTCCAGAGTGACTATAACTCTTGCCAGAGGTAGGTCTGGAACAAGACACTGCAGAGATTGAAGTAGTCCCCAGTGCACTTAGATGAGTTATGACCGTGGTTTGTATATTATAATATGTAAAATACTGGGTGGATGTTGTAGCAGAAATGGATTGACAGGACAGGAACTTTCAGTCACCGACGGGTTTGTGTTTTGTTTGGTTGGTTGTTTTTTTTAAATGTGACCTTTTATGTATTTTCTTGTATGGTTTGTTCTTCTTTCCAGGAATGGCTATTTAATAGGAAGTAGTAGGAGACTCTAGAATACAGTTATGTCTCAACACTGGAGTTAGCCTGTATCTAACGGGCTCCTGTTGAAACAGAAAAAGTGTTTGGTGTATTTAATAGTTAAAACTTGTCAGTTAAAGAGTTAAAATATATTGGGCAAAATATGACTGTTCTGAAATATTTCAAAGCGTTAATCTTTTATCTAGGATCATATTTTGGGGGTTGTTTTTAGGGAAGAAGGAACAAAATCTCTCCAGTGTAGTTGTCTATTCTCAGTATAAGGTATTGTTACTGTCATTTTTCTAGGGGTCACCTCTGTTCGATCTTATCAAGCAGTCAAAAGAACGAGAGGGCCAAACCGACCAGCCTGAGCCCGCTTCCACTCTCAACGTGCCTCTCCAACACAACCACACTGCTGCAGACCTGTAAGTGACATGCGTGCTTGAGGTCTAGTTAAATGTGAAGTTAATATCGCCCTTAATATTGAAATCCACGTGTATTCTGTTTTCCTACTTGTTAGGCTTGATACTTAGGTTATGATGAGCTGTTGTATTTGCTGCTTATTATACATGTAAATTTAGCTAAACCGAATTCTGAAATATTTTTTTCCAAGCCCTATCAAACTTGAAATTCCAAACTGTTATCTTACTTGCCTAGGAATAAATAAGTCCCTTTATCAGGTATTTGATCAATAACTGGAATTTTTTAATTCCTGATACAGGAATAACAGGTTACAGTAGCAATTAATTTCTTTAATTTCTTCTAATGGGGGAAGAGGGAAGAGTTCCTGCAAGTATTATTCATATAAAATTGTTCCTTTATCCCGTGATGTTAAGTGCTTAATATACGTTGAATCTCCAGCTATCTTTCTCCTGTGAGATCTCCTAAGAAGAAAGCATCTGGACCTTCTCTAGGTGCTTCTTCCACTCCAGATGCTCAGCCAGGTGTGACCCCCCAAACACAGAAACCACAGAAATCTACCTCCCTCTCTCTGTTCTACAAAAAAGGTTTGTTGCTTCTGTACATGCTGAAATCGCAAAGTTACCTCTTGTTATTTATCCTTTTTGGGTTTTGGAGCTCAACATTTCTTAAAAGATGATAATAGAACCTGTAGTAAACACCGTGGAAACCCTCAGCTGCCTCTGGAAGAAACAGTAAAACGGTGCCAGCAGGTTAATGCATGCACTCTACACACTGCAAGTTCGAACTGAAAACTTATCTACTGATGGTAAGAATGGCCATGTGGGCTGAGATGGAGGGTCCTTCTATCATAGCATCCTTGTTCTAGCAGTGACCATAAATAGATGTCATGGGAAGCTTAAGAACTGGGCAAGCATATATGGTGCTTCCCCTGAATGCTCTCCCAAGCTTTGACTTTCTCCACCTCGGGGGTTTTCCTGAGCCTTTTGCGATGTGTGTGCTTAGTAACTCTCAGTAGATTCATGTTCCAAATGCTTGTTCCGACTTCTTGAATCGACGTAGGCATATATGCGCAGCGTTGTTTGGTGTGGACTTTCCTGTGTCCAATGCCTGTTGTGTGAAGAATCTTTTCCATTTCTTTTGAACTTGGCTTCTTCTACCTTCGTTTGATGGCTTGTAGTTTTTGTAGTGGGAGATGGTGAACGTTTAATTGCTGTCCATCCTCCATCGCGTTCCTTTTATTTTGTATATGCCTATTATTACAATTTCAGTTTATTTTTCTTCTCTGTTTCTGAAGTGTATCTACTGGCCTATCTTCGACTACATACCCTGTTTTTTCGGCTTCTCTCTGAACATCCTGACCTGGAACCCTTGATCTGGACCCTCTTCCAGCACACGCTGCAAAACGAGTATGAGCTTATGAGAGACAGGCACTTGGACCAGGTAACGTTAACAAAAAAGTTTTAAAATTTTAAAAAGGCTCTCCAGAACAAAAAGTTACTTATACATTCTTTAGCCATTAGAAATTGTAATTTGAGTTCTTATTTCTCTATTGATCATTCAAGGAAGAAATTAATTTAGAGTGAAGTTGATCATCTCAGGTTTTCTAAGTACTGGCAGTTACTTATTATGGGATCTTCAAATACCATTTACAGCTATATTCAAAACAATGAGGACACACTGAATTTTCTAATAATTTGCATAAGAAAATACTGATTTTCTTTGGGCAGACAACATGTGTGGCTGATATATGTTTTGTTATTCTACCCTAAAATTGCAGCATGTGAAATGAGTTTGAGAAGATATTATCAGCTCCAATTAGTTTACTGTCATACCGAAATGGGGAGAACAGTAGTTGACGTATATTCTGGAAGTTCTTAGGAAGTTGAGTTGCATGCTAGTTTACAGAGCACGATCAGTAATAGAAAGCTCATCTTAACTTGAAATGAAGAAGCTGAATTCATTTTCTGCATTTCCAGTTGTCTTGTCTTGTTTCTTTAATAGATCATGATGTGTTGCATGTATGGCATATGCAAAGTAAAGAATGTAGATCTCAGATTTAAAATAATAGTTTCAGCATACAAGGAGCTTCCCAACACAAATCAAGAGGTATGGAAATTCTTTAATGTTATTCCTCCATAAAAATGTTATAAACTAATTTCTCTCTTGTCTAAAACAAAAAAAAAAACCCACCAAACTACACCTGAACGTGCAAAAGTTTTCTGCTTCACTGCATCTGCATTTTGTGGAGGCGAAAACTGTCTCTAATACTAAAAGTCTCTTTAAACATCTCACAGATAACTCTCTGTAGAAAGCAAACTTCATTCCACAGAAGCTAAATAATGGTTTATGATTCTATTTGGAGACTAGATGAAAGATTGGGATCTAGAGCTAACAGCATTTTCAAAAGCAACCCAAGTTCCTTCAACAGTTATCTGACTTCCATGGAGGATTAAGAGAAAAGAAGCAGATAACTTTGTATAGAAGCTTTCAGTAGAAACATGGCTAGATATCAAATAGCGATGTATGGTTAGATATCAAACAGGTGTGTATGTATTAAAGTTGCAGGCTTAATTCTAACATTAAGTAGTTCCTTTCTTTCTAAGGGCCTTACTGTACTTAAATTTTTGCACCAAACAGTAATTAATGGGAAAAAAACTCACCAAACAGCTAATTGAACGGTAGCCATCCTTCTAGTAGCAGAATTTCTCACTGTGTATTTGTGCATCTTGGCTAAACTCCAGACTTTTGTCTCCAAGCCTAAAGAACTATTTTATCCACATCGGGTCAGTAATGGGTTTTGTAGCCTTGCAAGGCATGCACAAAGTTGGTGGGGGTTTTTTTGGTTTTTTTTTTGTTTTTTTTTTTTTTTTTTGAGAATTGCATTTGTGAAAGCAAATGGAGCTTGAATTTGGAAAATGTTGTTATAGTACTGATGAACTGCTTTTGCACTAGGGAGCTGCGCCAGTTAATTAAGTAGGTACCACTATTGATGCTCATACATGTTTGAGGGAAAAAAAAAAACCAACAATTTAGAACAGTTCTAAATAGTAGTTACAATGGCTTGTGTAGAATACCCGTGCCATCTTAACTCTTAACTAACACAGATTTTTTTTGAATGGCTTTGAGTTTGTCAAATGTAAAATTCTCATCCTTTTTTGTTTGTTTGTTTTTAAACTGTCTATGATTTTCTTGCCCTATGTAGACTTTCAAACGTGTTCTTATCAGGGAAGAACAGTATGACTCCATTATAGTCTTCTACAACTTAGTGTTTATGCAGAAGCTGAAAACAAACATTTTGCAGTATGCCTCCAACAGGGTAAGCTGTTAGTTGTGTTCAGTGTTAATTATTTAGTAGAATAGGAATATATAGACAATAGAACTTATGATGATTTTATTATTTTTATAGCCTCCCACTCTGTCACCTATCCCACACATTCCTCGCAGCCCTTACCAGTTTTCCAACTCTCCTCGGCGTGTCCCTGCTGGCAATAACATCTACATCTCGCCCTTGAAGAGCCCATACAAATTCTCCGACGGGTTTCAGTCACCCACAAAGATGACTCCAAGGTCTAGGTAGGTTGTTGGCAAGCAATTCTTTGACTAAATTAAAGGTATTTGGGGGATTTTAGTGGAAGCAAATTAGAAAACTGCATAGTCTAGTTTGCCAATAGTCTGCGGTAATTATCTTTTCTAGTTAAAAGTTTGTGTCCTGTATTTGGAATCTTTATTCATCTTTGAGCACTTTTCTGTTTCAGTTGAGTCAGTGTGCTCAGGGAGTTTGGGGTGTTTTTTTTTCTTTCTTTTTTTAGAACAGTCACATCTAAGAGGGGTTTTCTGACCTAGTTGCTTAGATGTTGTTGGCTTTGACTGTGGTTCACCCTCCTGAAAAACAGAGATGAGCTTTGCACACTTGTTTAAGAGAAAATACTTTTTTGGAACAAAATGGTTGAGAGTAGTTGACTGAGCAGAACCTTTCAAACTGTTGGTCACTCTTTCATAGCAGACGAGGATGACAGCAAACGTGCAAGTCTCCAGTGGGTTTTTCAAATTAGGATCAAGTGAGTCCCATTGCACCTGGCCCACTGTGTACAAAAGTTAAACTATTACTGTATATTTTAGGCTGAAGTCCTGCATGGTTGTGATTAGCAAACACCTAAAGGTGCTGATGAAGGGATGATTATCTGGGTACCCAGCACTGAAGCGTCTTCCTGCAGATAAGGGCCGGCCTGTGGGGGCCTCCGATTCTTTCAAGCCACGCTTTCTTTTTGATCTGTGTGGTACAGTTGATTTGGCGATTCAGCATTCACTGGCCCGAATAGAAACGTGAACAGTCTCAACGCAGTAAAGCGTAGTAAGGGTTTGCACCGTTAATGCGGAGAGAGAGGAAGAGACTTTGTTAATGCCTTGTGCTAAGCTGTGCGAATTAGTGGATGCTTCTGTCATCGTAACTTAATCTTAAACACTTCTCTTCTTCATTTGGCAGAATTTTGGTGTCTATTGGTGAATCGTTTGGGGTGAGTTTTAACATTTTTAATGTCTGGTCTTGAATGCATGTAACTTTTGGAGGAATGGGATAGACTGCTGACACCTGTAGAACTGGCCAGGGAGTGTCTCTAATTCAGCACAGTATTTTATGGGATTTGTAAGCACAAAGATTACAGGGGTGTCCTGTTAACTCCTTTCAAATATCCAGACTTCACTTTTAAAACGTTTTGCATTTTCTTGCTTTGACAGAAGGTAAAGCTCTTAAACTGCAGAGTTTTAGAACTCCTAATTGTTGTAGTGGATAATCGGGAAAGTTTGAGTAGTTTCAGGATTTGTTGACAATTCTTTCCCTACTTTCTTGTCATTTCAGACTTCTGAAAAGTTTCAAAAAATAAACCAGATGGTGTGCAACAGTGACTGCCAGCTAAAACGCAGCGCAGAAGTAAGCACTGCTCCTAAGCCACTGAAGAGGCTGCGCTTTGATATAGAAGGGCAAGACGAAGCAGATGGAAGGTGAGGGATTGTTCGTGGCTTTTTGGTAATCTTACGTATATTTGGTTCTCGGGGCCTTCCATCCTAACTTCTTCCCGACATCCTAACTTCTGTTAATTTGTGAACTTTAGTAAATATATTCAATGAGAGATGGTAGCATACTACTTCTCAATTAGACACTTTGATGTCCAAAGCAAGGATTTATTCCGTGCCTATACATCCCAGCATCCCAGTGTTACCGCTGAGTGCTAAACTGTGCTGTTGTCTTTAGTCAGCCTTTTAAAAAACAAAACTCAAATTTTTTAGGTGTATGAGAAATCAAGCAACTCTTGAGTTTAGCATGGATGAAAAAAGAGTTAGCATCTTTGTAAGAGAAGGCGATAGCACTGAAGTGAATGAACCTTGATTTAAAGTTAGGTTATGAGGATAAATGTTGGGGTTTTTTTTAACTTGCACTTAATCATATGTTTTCTGTCTGCAGCAAACACCTACCCCAGGAGTCGAAGTTCCAACAAAAGCTTGCAGAAATGAGTGAGTATTATTTTTTCCATTAACTGCTCAGCAGTGAGTGCCTTGGATAAAAACAGTTTGTGCCCACTCAGATAAAAACATTGCTCAACACTGATGTAATTTTGGTAACTTGTTCAGTTTTTTGTACTTGCTCAGTTTTTTGTACTTGCTCCATTTAATCTTGAAAATGCAGATTATAAAATGGAAATCCTCAAAAGCCTTTTTGAGGATGTTAAGTGGCACAGCAGCATAGGAGATGCTATATTACATGTGAATAAGAAAATGAGCATGACACATTTTTCCTAAACACTAGAATTCTTGAAACGGAATTAAATGCTTGCCAAGGCTTTCCCATTTGTTGTAATGACAAACCCTTAGCTGAGAGCTTGTGGGTAGAGATCAGTAGTAATTGCAGCAGCATTTCGTTGACCAGAACACCTTTTTAGGTGATTGCAGTATAGTCAAGGAAATTTATGTACGCAGGAAAATTGTATGTAATTTTGTATGTTGCTGCGCTGTCTTTTATACTAAAATGCCCGAGACTGGTGGGTCAGCATTTCTTTCAGACTTTATGGCATCACTTTTGAGTTTCATTTGAAAAACAGAAATCTAGCTCAGGAAAAGCGAAACAGCCACATCCCCACATCCGAGCTTTATTTTCCACTCCCAAGAAGGAGCACACTTGGCCTGACCGGGCGTTCTCACTCTCCAGTGGAATCTGAGCTCTGTAGCTGAGCAGATTTGCCCGTTAAAAATTCTTACCTAGCAAGTGTTTGCTCGTCAGGATAGGTATGAGTACGGATCCAGGCACCTCTTGTTTATTATTTTAGGGTAGGGGAAAGGTTTGAGCGTTTCCTCGTGACAGAGGTTAAGAAGAGATGTTCTGTCTCGCGTCCAGTTGTGTCAGCATGTGTCACCGCGGGGAAAAGGCATTTTCTGGGCAGGCTGGCTGCGGGACGTGCGGACGGCTCGGCCCGTAGCATCTGCCTGGCAAGAAGACGAGACCCCTACGTGGTACAGTCCATCTGCCTGCCGTGAAGATGAAAACAAAGTGAGGGTACAGAAGCAAGGAGAACTTCAGTGAACGGGTGGAAGGAATTTAAGCTCTGTGAGATTGAGCAGGAATTGCTGAAGCAACTCAGAATTACTTTTAAAATGTGGGATTTGTTTTATTTAGAGTAGTGTAATTCAATTCCTTGTGTCATTACCAGTTTTTTACAAGAACTAATCGTGTCTGAAGCAAGTATTTAATTTCTTTTTTTGTTTGTTTGGGTTTTTTTAGCATCTACTCGAACAAGAATGCAAAAGCAGAAGCTGAATGATGGAAATGATACCTCAGCCAGTGAAGGAAAGTGAGATTCTTCTCAGGACCAGGGGCTGCACTGCAGGCCCTCTTAGATTGTTTTTGTTCATTAATTGAGTTGCTTTTTTAGTTGCTTTTTATTCAGAACTGCTAGTTGAAAACATTTGGACTTTTTAAATTTTTAAATGTTTTTCATGATACTTTGCCTTATGATGTAGCATATATACAATGTAAGCCACTGAATTTAATTTATCTATTTTTTTGAGGATTTTAAAAACAGACTTGGAAGGTGTCTTGGTTTCCTATTGCAACGTTACTGATTTAAGCCAATTCAGTCTACTTGGACTGATTTTTTTTTTCTGTCTAAAGACAAAACGTTAGCTAGAATGATTTGAAATGCACTAATTTTGTTTCTTAGATTTCATTTTTAGATTTTCTTTACTTGCAAATTTTGAAAATGAGGGGCCAGATACTGCAAAGATTTGTCTCTGTATATAATTAGCGCATCAAATTCCCATTAACTTAAACTGCAGAGCAGTCGTAGACCTTGCAGAGTCAGTACGTGAGAAGTACAATCTGAATTCAAAGGGAACTCGTTATGTAGCCGTACTACTGAAACCAATACTTAGCGTTGTGTAGTTCTCCTTCCCCAGCTCTCACCCCCCTGCAATTTCAGAGGGCACTGTCCATCAGTTGGAATTTCATGGAACGTGAATCCCACAGAGAATCTTCCCAGAAGCCAGAGCTTCTTCCCATATGCAGAGTACTTGATGTGCACTTTCCTATCTTGGAAAAACCTCAATTATTTAAAAGAAAAAAGAACCCCAAACCTAAATCCCACCTGGTACACATAAGATTTTGAAATTCTAATGATGTAGAATTTTCTTGATTTCTTCAAATTTTCCCCTAACTGTAGCCAAGCCAAACAGCTTAAGAAACAGGCCCCAAACCTGTTTCCTATGGCTGAAAGCTGAGTCTCTCCAGTTGGGTTCCAGGTATGAGTGGCCTGGTCTCTAAAAGCACAGGGCGTCTCCCATTGGCACAAAAGCCGAACTTGACAAGCCCACATTGGGAAAATCAGTCTGCCTTAATTTGCTGAAAAGGCAGAGTTTAATAGGCAACTTGCGAACTGTCACAACTAGCAAAAAAAACCCCAAAACCTGAACTTTTTTCAGCTTCTGTGTTTGTAAGTTACTGATTCAGATACCAGATTTTTTCTTGCAATGATAAAGGGTTTGCAAAGTAGCTAGTTAAGGAAAGCACGTTTTACTTCCAGTGGATTAAAACCTAAGTAAATAAATGAAGTCCTGCTTTAAAGTGACCCATTTTTATGAAATTTAGCTTTTGCAGCTACTTGAATTAAAACAGCTACAGTAGAAAAGCATGCTGTCCTTACACAAACATTTTAAAACCACATCTTCTCCGGGTAGCTTATTTAGAAATCATTTAGCTGATCCTAGAATACTTACAGTAGTACATTTTAATGATCAGTCCTTGTGTCGAACAGAAGCTAATCCTACAGCTACTGAAAATTCTACAAACAGCACACTGGTTTGTCAATGAATTTTAAAATAAAATGGAGTTATTTTTTTAGTCACAATATGGCTTCAACTTTCCTCCTGAAAAATGTACAGAAGTGCTGGAGTACCTTATGTTTATTTTCTCACTGTTTGCAGAGTTTTACAGACAGAATATATGTTAACATTGGGGTGCAGTGACTGTAAGCTCTGTTACAGCCGTTTAAGTTCTTCCATGATCCTTTGGCTAGAGGGGTGACAGTACAGAGTCCAGTGCCTAAGCAGATTTATTATTTCCTTACTGTGACAGTGTATTTTTTTTTTTCTGTTCAAAGACTGAAGGCTTTACATCAAATGTATGATAGTATTTTATACAACTAATCAGTTTCTTTCCTTTCAAGGTAAATAAAATAGCTTTTAAAAGATTCCCAGTTAGTAATTTCCTTTTATTAGATGAGAAGGTGACTTCATAGGGTAACGATGTCCTGCTGTATCACGCTTCCACCGTGATTCTGCAGCCGGTACAAGCAGAGGTCCAGCGATTCCCTCTTGGTGCGGAGGTCCAAGGATTCGTGCTGTCGGGCTTGGAGTTACCTTCGGGAGTTTCGGGAAACGTTGTTCTCGCCATAACTTTTGTTCCAGGGTCGCTGTTGGTGACCAGGCTTCTGGCAGAGGCCGGCCCGTACTGATGGTGGCCTGGGTCGCTGCCAGGGCCCTTGCAGAGGTGCGCGAGGTAGTCCTTCGGAGATTTGGGTGTCTGCATTTAGAAGCATTCCCGTCATCAATTCTTTTGCGTTCGGAGCTGCTGAAATCAGCCCGGGATGTCAAAACTCCAGCAAAAGCCGCCGTGGCTTTCGGGGCCAGGTATGTGTCTGTAGGCAGGTCAGCCTCGCAGGCTGCCCGTCGCTGCGTTGCTGGAGTCCGTCGGTGCCCGTGAGTCACGACTCTCCTGATCTCGCAGGGCTATTTATAGCATCAGTGTTCATGACAAGGCTTAGGGCACAAAGTGCACTTGCTGACTTACTTGCCAGTCCTTGCCCCCTCTGAAAACACATTTTCAGAGGAGTCCTATTTTTAAGTAGATATGTATGCAAATCAAAGTGTATTGAAACTGAATGGCTTTTTATCAGATTTGGAAATTTTACTGTGTTTGAGAGTACTTTTCTTACAGCGAGACCTTGTTGCGTTCAAAATGGGCTAGGATATTGAAACTGTTTCAGGAAAACAACAGAAAATTAGAATTTGGAGCCAGGAGAGTTGGACAGAAAATGGGACGGGTGTTTCAGGTGCCTAATGGTAAGGATTGCACCACTGCTCAAACTCTCCTAAGCACCATGGAGAAAACGTACATCTGTGGAGAAAAACGTGTCTCTGCTGAAGCTGTATGTGGGAAATGAGGGCAGGGGAATGGCATCTGAGAGAGGCCCCTTTCTCTCCATTGACATTGTGGGGAATTTAGTCTGTTGGCTTGGCTGTGTAGCCATCTCGAGGCGTATGAGCCTCTTTATTTGCAGTTTTATATGTTAATCTCTTGCTGCTGTCCCCTGTTTCCAAATGCTGTTTGTTCTTACATGTCACAGAATGCGTGAACTGCATGGTTTTGGGTACAGGAAGATACCTGTGTCACGTGGAACAGCTGGAGATACTGGTGCAAATTATGAGTCGAAATATTTTAAAAAGTAACAAGTAAGCTGGTCATAATGTACATTTGCTTCAGAAACAATGCTTGGTGTTTTGAGGACAATTTTATTAATCAATAAGTCACTAAGGCATTAATTTCTTTGAAAGGTGGAAATACATGTATGCAAATTCTCCAGCTCTTTTTTTTGCAGACTCAGTTTTCATTCTGTTTATAAATACTTATAGCTGGTGGCAGTTATCTCCTGAAGAACACAAATAGTCTTTAAAGTATCTTTCTGAAATATTGTCTCTTTTATTTCTTTTTGTCCCACACTACTAACTGCACAGTCAGCTCTGTATACAAGCATCAGACTTTCTTTCTTTTCAGTAAAAGTGAAAAATCCCACTCATATTTTTTAAATATTATGGCAGTTTTATTAATGGTCTATTAAAACCAGCCAAGTTTATAAAGAAACAAGAAATCAAAACATAATTTTATGTTCACACTGTAAACTTTCTACATCATTAGGTGGTAGCCAATGAGTCGTGTCTTTATGGGGTAAATAAATGCTTTGTTTTACAAGGAAAGCCCATGGAAATTTTTCAGACTGTATAAAACCAGCAATTTACATAGTTATCAGGCGTCGTAACAAAACTCTAGGGGTGGGTACCAGGTGACAATGCAATGCTGGCTCTTAGCTTCAGTAACTTTTAAGAGAACCTTTGAATAACCCTATCCCTGTCATTTCTTTTTCTTTCACATTCCATTTGATTCAGAAAATTACCCGCCTCATTCCCTTTCTGTGAAGTGGAGCATCCCTCTTGATTTAAACCCCGGATACAGTTTATGGTTGACTTTATTTTCACTTTTTAACAGATAACCTTTTTGTCTGTGGTGTCCTAAAACAGAACACTATTTACATACTTAAATACTTCATTAAGTATTTAACCTGCAAGATCCACAAATGTAAGTTTCTTGCAGACCATCTCACAATGGTAAAATGCATCCCTAGTTTTTTCTAAAATATCCAATGATCGGGTTGCAAGCATATCCACATTTAACCACCTAAGCCAGTACGTTTTTTTAAACATTGACCTTTGAGTGCCAAGGAAAGTGCATGCAAAGAAAGTTTAAAAAATTAAATAAATAAATGTCTCCTCTATGAACGTAGTACTGTCACATCCAGGTCAGGTGATACATACTGCACGAGTAAAAGCCAGCGCTGACACACTGGAGCTTTGGAGTTGCCCTCATTCAGTCCAGAGATGCTTTTTCTCAAAATTACAGGCTTTGTCAGTTACTCTGAAATTGTAACTAGGCTTTAATGTGTATAGTAGGTTGGAAATCATGAGCAGGAAGGAAACAAATTGAAAAAAAATGGCACTATTGGCTATATTAAGCCAAAAATACCTTGCTAAGAAAGTATGCCATTTTGACTATGGTAGTTGTTGAACTACTGTGTTTTGCACTTGAGCTAGCTTAGGCGAGTGGTACAGTTGTGCCCTACCATGATACTGGTTTACTGTCTGCATTAGCCTCCATATGCCTCAGTCAAGTGCTTTTCAACACAAACTTATCAAAACTGATCTTCCCCCAGGGAAGGTGTGGTTTTGATGAAACTGCCTTATGTACTGTAAAGATTTTGACCAGCTCTGTTTGAATACAAAACACTGATACAGCTGCTGAAGTATGGACTTACTTATGCTGCTGGAGAAATAAGTTGTACTAATCACTGAGGAGGTGGCAGAACATGCTTGTTAGCAGTAGATGATCTGATATAGCTCTAGTGAGTCTGAGGCAAATGCCTCAAACAGCATTTTCCAAAATAACTTGCTTAAGGCCCTTTTCCTAAGTAAATTCAACTGTCTGCATGCCTCATCCTTCCACTTGCACCCACAGGGACTGCTGTGAAGAGAGACACTACTCACTGCTTCTCATCTTCTTCTCTGAGGATGTGCTTCTCCTTTACTTCCTCCTCAAGGAACAGGATTGTTTGAGAAATGATCCTCCAATATAACAAGGAACAGTTATTTCTACTTTAGAAATGAGGAAATGAGGCTGCAATCATTTAAGGGAATTAGGTTCTTAAAAACCACATTTGAGGATTAGAAAAAGCCATCGAAGGATTCTGTGGCACAGTGAGGATCTGAAGGAAGGTTGCATGACTAATTATATTAGTGTACTGAGCCTGACCATCCAGCTTCTTGCCTTCACCATTTGTACAATACTACAAAAGGCACTTAAAGCCACATCACCCACTCAAAATTTTACGAGAAATAATTTCCCAGGGCTAATTCATAGTTGCCTATTAGAAATTAAATGCTTCATGAGCTCAGCATCTTCTGTAACAGGGCAAACCTCTCTGTGCAACACTGGGTGGGGTTTCATCTTACCTCACTTAAGTCAGTTAGTTAGAAATTAAGCATCTACTCTACCTTAGCCATCCCATCCCCTCGATGGTCAGTGATGAGGGAGGCATGTCCAGAGGGCAACTCCTCTCACCTAAACCAGACATGTAAGCTAAGTGGTCTGGTCACCTCCTGGCACTGATCAAAGGAGAACCTGAAACAGTGCATTTGGACAAGAGGTACTGCTGCCACTTGGAAAAATAATGTGAGTTTCACTCTCATGATTTAATGGTAAGACCCATTTTTATCACTTCAAAACTGTCGTCTTCTCCATTTTTCTTAAGGTGATCTATCTGGGGATAGATACTAAGACAGGAATAAACAAACCTCAAGTGGAACTTCCCTTTCCTTGAGATTTTGTTTGGATTTCTTTTTCTTGGTAACAAGCAACCAGATGGTTTTCTGAGTACCAAAACACACAGCACAATAATTCATGCCCAGACAAATACTGTGAATGCTTCCTGGCCCACTGGGGTGCCAGGGAAGGTGCTGGGTGTAATGGAAAGGAAGATTTTTTTTTTTCATTCTGTCTAGAACAATGGACATAAGTGCCAGGAACTCAAAACTGTAATATCCAGCTGAAGCTCTTCAGGGCTTATGTATTTATACTCCAAATAAACACCAAGTGAGACATATCCTCCTCCTACCAATCGGAAAGCCTCTCATCCTAAAGAATTTATTACTTCATCGCATGTTCAGAAAAACAAGTTTGTATCTTCACTGGATGGTAAACCAGGCACAAAGCAGCCGACTATGACATACTAACTTTGTTTGGTGATAAAAGTATACTATGAAAGTTTTAGCAGCAAACAAACAGGCCACAGTCCCAAATGCAGGTTGTTTAAAAAAAAAAAAAAAAACAAACAAGAAGAAACCCTCAAACCAGACAGACAAGATAATGATAGCTTAGTTTGCTTGACTTTAAGTGGGCAAGGGTAGTTACTGCATTGGATTTTTGTTGTTAAATTCTGACTGTTGGCAATGAACTCTCACCACACATCTGTGCTGTAGCCATCTTTACAAAACCTGTATATTAGCAGACTTCTACACATTTCCTAAACTGATGGACACAGAGTCTTTCTTTCCAAACCTTTGCACGCTCTGACCATGGATAAGTAAGTTCTCCAAAGCAGAAGTATTCTCGGGAGGGAAGAGGACGTGCTCTTCAGCTTGGTGGTAGTCAGACCTCAATTTCGGAATGCTCCCACTCTGCTTGCTTTGCTAATGAAGTTTTTCAGGAGGTCGTGGTCCATTTCTGCAAAGCCTTGAGTTTGTGTAACAACAGTTAAATGGTTTATGCAAAATCTGAAGCAAAATTCTTCCAAGTCCTAGAACAAATTGAGGTAATTTTTAATATGAATGACTGATTGATAGAAAAATTACTATTTTTTCTGTTTCAAATCTGTCATTTAATTAGCAGAGAATATACCAGGTTGTTCACATTACCAATCCCTTTTCTGATCAGTTTGATTAGATCACAAATGATAGGATGAAATTTGTTTATACAAACTATTAAAAAAAACCCAAACAAACCCTCCAAGAAAACAGGAGTAGCCACCTAAATCGACTCTAGAACTCTATCACATTTACTGAGCTCATTAGAAAAAAAGTTACAAATAAGTGAAACCATCGACTTTCCCCACATACAACTACTAGAGCATCAGTAACTCCTCTATTCTTCTCTGCACTGAATTCAGTAGGGGTCCTGTATAAACCAGCAGGTATCCTAGTCTTGCTGAAAATAAAAGCAAAATATAAGGTAACATTTGATGATGCTTGCTGAACCCAAACTGGATGTTGGGATACAGGTGTCTTTTGTGGCGAACCTAGGAATTGTGTCCCCCTGTCTAGGAACTGGGATTCCTAAATAGCAAAAATGGTTCTGTCTTGCTGTAACAGGATGTTCAGCTATTCAGCACAGGATAGGTACAAGCCACTAAGCCATACAACCATGATTTCACACAGCAAATTTTGCTCACTCAAACTCCTCGCAACAGTGGCGATCCTTCTCTCCATGCACTGGGTCAGTCCCCTTTAGCTGGTTCCTATGCAACAACTTGCTGTTGAAGGAAAATTAATTACATTCTGCAGCAAGCAGAGCTGGAGCCAGCAGCAAGGTGAGTCTAAATTGGCAGTACAATCCATGATCTGTAAACTCTTCAAGGGTTACAGTAGAAAGAAAGAGGTCTCTTAATCCATGCCAGTTTTATTCTGTTAACCACACAAACATTGCAGCCAGGGATTAATAGTAGAAGTAAATTTAGCAGAATAACTGTGCATTTCCCTTTGAAACCTTTTCCTTAGATTGAATGTTTCAAGTCTATTGCCCCAGCAAGATTTAACTAAAGCTTTAGCACAGCAGCACAAAATACCCTTTAAAAAGAAATAACGTAGCAGCAATGCACAGAAGTAAATTTTATCTCTCATCAAGTACTAGAAAAGCAAGAAAAGGAATGAGAATAGAAGAAATAAAAACCGTAGAAGAAATAAAAAATGTAGAAGATCAAAGGCACTGACAGCTTAAGCTTCAGCAGACCTCTGAAGTGCTAATTGCCAGAACCTGCATTGCTTTACAGTCAATGTGCAAACTTTTACACTAAACAAAATGAACAGCAGCTGCCTATTCTGCTACTGATCTATGAAAAGGACCATAGATATAGAATCCTGGTCACCAATTTTGCCATTTCAAGAAATACTGGCTTTTAATTCTGTTATATAGAAGATGACTAATCTAAAATTTGTTACCATATATATTGGAAATATGCTTTAAAATAACTTGTAGCATCAATTCTTTGTATTTTCTGAGGATAGGACAAAATATTTTCAGGCATTTTTAGTCCTAACAGCCATGCACATTAGCCAAGTCAGTCTTCAGTTAATTTGATATGTTAATGGCAGATGATACAGCACTATAATCTTGCACTTGCAGTGGTGACATTTAATGACAAAAAATGGAATTAATTCTACCTTTTCAAACTTCCAAAATATTAGGCCTCTTTCATAACCCTTCTTTGGACAGTCTTCTACTGAGGTGCTGATACACTGCACATGGTTCTCAAACAAATTTTCACTGTACTAATGTAGTACACTAAAAGATCCTGGTCTACTTCACAGTTCCTGAGACAGAGGCTATCCCCTGTCTTTGACAAAGAAGTCTTTGCTGCGCTTCTCTGAAGCGGTTCTACTATATCCCTTTCTGAGCTGTGGGTGTAGGGAGGAGGGCAACAATCCCCTCTCCTGAGTTTGGCACATGCTGCACCCAGGGCAGGTAAACCAATTAATCATCTGATGATCGTGTTAAAAATATTACATGTTTTGAAAGAATACTCGGTGGGTATACAGAAAAAAACATAGAATCATAGAAGGAAGAGGAGGATAGTCATCTAGCCAATCTCTTTCATTGTGTTTCAGCCATTATAAACTCTAGTGCTTTGTCCAGGCTAGTTTTACTACTTCACAATACACCTAAATGTATCTTTAACTACTCTTTAACTACTTCTCCTGACACAGGTCAACTGAAGGTACTTCTGCCTTGAAGATATTCAAAACTGTTGAAAAGCTTGTAAAAGGAGAAACTCCAGAGTAAACTTTTCATGAAAACTTCTGCTGTTAGGAGAATCAAATTATTGGGTCCTCCCTTCCTGTCCAGTCTTCCATGATATACTGGGCTTCTACCACCACAACGCATTGAAAGTACAATTCCTCTTTGCCTCAGCTGTTCATGCCTTCTGTTACTGATACCTTGGTTACAACTGCCTGGTAACCGGCAGCTGATAATCCTATTATCTACTGATCTAATGGTATCCCCTCTTTTGATTTACAAAACTCACTGACTTCTGGACTACATATTTTGACTCTTCTAATAGGTAATCTTCTGTTTGGTTATATTAATTCTATTCTTGTAAAGCAGAAGTAGTCTTGGAACAGAAAGATGAGGACTTCTCAACTAAGATGCTCAGTTATAACAATGGTTACTAAGTCTAAAATACATAAACAGACTTCTTGAATAATAAACCCCACCACATCATTATTTCCACAATCAGCATAGCACTAAGAAGTTGAGAAAAGGAAAACACCTTTGAAAGTATTTATCTGTTTACAAAAAAAGCACTTGCAGTATTGCTGATAACAGGTTGAGTGCTAGTGAAACATTCCAGAGCCAAGGGCAGACCAGATGACAGGATATGTGGAGAGGAATAACAATAGGTCATTTGTTGTATGTCAGCAGGATTCATTGTAAACAACATGGCAAAAGTGCATTTTTTATATAAGCACAAGGGTAAACGGGGAGGGACTTTACAGGTAAATTCTCCCACTGCCTGTAAAAGGCAGTACCGGAATGACTGTACCAGACACCGGCAGACAAAATGATCAGGTGGAGAACTCAGGAAATGAACAGGCGATGCAAAATCCAAAGGTGGAGAAGTAAATAGCAGTGAGAAATTTGCATGCCATGCCATGCCAGATGACAAGGCAGGAAGCAGATTAAGAATCCTGACTCACAGGTGCAAGTCAAAAGGCCAAGAAGAAAACACTAGTAGCTGCATTTTTTTTTTTTTACAGCTAAAAAAGGAAAAAGAAACATCTGGGAGTCCAGAAAGGGAAATTGCATTAATCATGCCTCATCAGTTAAATGCAGTTATGTTTATATTAAACAGTTTAATTTCTCAAAAAACAACTGTTTGCCTGAAGTTCTTACCTGAGCTTCATATTTGACAGCGGCAGAAAGAAGAGCAATGGCATTCTCTTCACAAATGCCTTGTTTGATCGTTTGCTGGCAAAGCTTTTTCAATCTGTTTTCTCTATACAGTGTTGCCAAATCTAGCAGTCCTGCAAAAATTCATACATCTTTAACTATCCTGGTGCAAAACATATTAATTTTTTTTTCAAATGAATCAATTAACCTATTGATTTAGGCTGAATTAATCAAAGACTTGATCTACTTTTTTCCCTAAACAATGTGTGCATTTTTAAAGGTCCTCAAAAGACATATCAAAAAGGGATCCTTTTATTACTATGCAAGCGTTCTGTCATCTTGTTCACTGTATTGTAGCTCATTCTAGGCATCAACTAGTGACTTACATGCTCTTAAATTCATGTGGGGAACAGCTCCCTTATCATTCATGATAAAATCACCACAGCTATTCAAACAGAAAAGTTTTAGGATGGTATTAGTGCCTTTTTAAGGAAAAAAGAGTTCTTAATATGAGAAACAATGAATTCTTTTTGAACATTTTGCACCTTTGATCTTATTGCATCCCCACCACTCATTCTCCTTGGGCATGTTTCCTGCTACTGCATCCCTTCTTCCTGACACCTACCAAACTCAAGATTTAAGTGCTAATAAAAGTAAAATTAACAAGCCCTGCTTTCCTCACCCTGTTATGACACACAAACTTTTCAGAAACAGTAACCTAGAGATATTTCCATTTATGGCAAATACCTATTGCATCTTCAGGAGGGAGCCTAATGTTGTCTGTATACAGGTATTCCAGGAAGGCTCGGTAAACAGGATAAGAAAATTCACTCATTTCTATAATTTCATCATCATTATTCAGTATGGAACGAAAATGTTCACACCTACAAAACATGAACAAAGACTTATACTGTAAAGAGTTAAGCTTGAAAGATGAGCTGCAGCAAGTTGGTACAAAAAAAAAATTAAATCAGTCATTACAGACTAAATACACAAACAAACTCTAGCTACATGATTTCTTGGTTTGAACACATTAACTTCTTTAAGCCATATATATCTCTATATATCTCTCTCTATATATATAAAATTCAGAATTTTCCTTCTACTTGCAATATCTTTAAGGATGGTTCATGTGGTTTTGATGTCATTTTCTTAAATAGGTTACACATTAACTATGAATTTTATTACCTAGCTTGTAATAGATAACATTTACAATTAAGTATAGACAACTCTCACAGTTCAACCTGCTTTCTCCAACATGATCTAGCGAGGAGGGAAATTTATTAATATTTTAGATAACATGTATTCCAGTGTCAGAGTCCATACACAATTTAGCATTAGATTTCACCATTATACTCAAGGATTAAAATATTTAAAGTGAAGACACTCTCACCCAGATCTTTCATCACCTTTTTCTTAGTCTGAATCCTTTTGTGACAGACAAGATACAAACAAGGAAAAAGCATTCCCTTTGATAGCTGTACTCTGCAGCTTACAGTTCACAGTAACTTACAACTCACTGTAACTTACTGCTCCCTAAAAAACATCCTGTAACATTTGAATTTACAAAATTTTTGCTAATGGAAATGAACATCACCACCTCAGGTAACTTTTCCTATAACAGCCACAACTTAATTTTATACTACACTACTTACTTTCTAACTCTCCCACGTCAGAATTTGCTTTTCTTTTAGTAAAATCTTTATGTAAAAGGTAGGTTGGTTTCCTTTTAATGGCACTGGGACGATTCTACATCGTAAAGACAGCATAACTTAGATACAAATGAAAAATAATTATTTATTTTATCACTTAATTTACCTTTGTCACATTTGATTTTACTGGTCGTTTAAATGCTTTTTTTCTTAGTTGTTTGGGGTTTTTTAGTAAAATAAACAAACATCAAGTCAAATTCATAAATAATTAAAAAGTCATTATCTAGCTTCTGTCACATCTTGTACCAGATTCTGGCATTCGAAGAGGCAGATCAAACCCCATTGCTTTGTTTCCTGTAGCCTCATGTTAAGTGGTGGTGACCATGCTATCCATCCAGCTGTGGAAGAGACCTTGGGAATGGTCTGTTGCCCCAATGGCACTACACAGAAGTAAAAAGTCAGAGAGAAGGTGGTACACATTGTTCCCTTAAAAATAAATAAGTAAAAAAATTAAAATCGGTTGCTACTCATCCTTCAGTCTCCAAATACCTTGGAGTGAGTTATCGTTTTGAGTGCCTCTCTCTCTCTCTGTAGAGACAGACCAGATGCCTAATTTTGTCTGGCTAAATGCAGTGCAGACAAATCCCACCCACATACTCATCTGTATCTGTTTCTGCAGGTAGTACGTTGCTTGGCCAGCCTCTCACTGAGCTGCGAGTTGCCCTGTCATTTCACCACCATTGCAAGCTAATAGCTACCAACAATATGATCTAGTTCAACAGCAGGCATAGAACAAGATGGAAAAAAGGCTTCATACGTAGTAAAGAAATGACTAGATAATGAAAAGGAACTTTTACCAGCACTGCATTCATGACAATGCTCTGGAGCAGGCTGAATGCTGAAAAATACCACATTAGATACATTATCCTCTGATCCAGTTGCATCATGAGACTATAAGGCTTAAAGAAAATATTAATTCTACAGACTGTGCCTGATGCTTTAGTATTCCTGCATATTATTTTGATAATGCCATACATTTAAATCCATTTTAGAACTAGACACATTTCCTTCCCAGAATGCCACACAATCAGAAACGTAGAGCAAGAAAAAAGAAATCAGGAAAAGTTACATATAGTCTGATTATCAGGAAAAACAACCTCAGAAACATTTTGGGGATACACAAGATTTGAAGTGGTATCTGATGAGGGACACATGGCATTCCAAACAGAGAGGGTGGACTATAGGCACAAGTGTAACGTACAAGCAATGAAATCAGCAAAGGCAAGAAAAGAGTAATACAGGTAATTGGAGTAGTAAAAGGAGAGCAGAAAAGACCAAAAAAAGGGCAGGCAAGAAATAACAAGGAACTTTAATTTTATTCAGTAATATACAAGAAATCAACAACGGGACTCAGGAGCAAAAGTAGGAAGACAGAAGTGGTGATAAGCAGGATGGGATAGCATTTTGAGAAAGAAAATAGCAAAGAGAAAAAACTGTTGTAACAATGAAGAGGATGGAGGAGAAGCAGTTAGCAAGACAGAAGAGATCTAAAGCAGTCTCTCTAGAATATCCTAGCAGCAACTGCATCAGCAGTAACAAACTAATCTCTGCATGTTAATAACAGTGTGATTATTCTGTAGATCTGAGTATGTCAAATCTCACTGTAAAGTGGTGTTTACTTGCAAAAAGCTGCGAAAACAAAAACAGAAGCCAGCTTAAAATTCAAATTCACTGATAAGAAAGTTTAAAACAAGTAGGATAAGAAATCTGACAAAAAAGGAAAAAAAAAAGATAATCTCAAGAGCATGTACAGAAGTTGCTGAAACAACTGAAGGGTCCTGTGGAAGGAAAGAAAGGCAAGAATAAATGCAAACCCTCAAATCATCCCAGTGGAGGAAGCCAAGCAAGTAAAGGAAGAAAAACTGATTCAAACTACTGGGAAGGCAGCAGAAAGAAGTGAGCCTTTTCCCCAGCAGAAAAAGGTTATTAGAAATCAGGGAAATTAGGTAGCATGAAGGAGGATACACATCAGGTGGAGGGAAATGATGAAAAGTTTGGTAATTCCAAGCAGCGAGAAAATGAGGAAAAGACAGTAACAGTGAAGAATAACATGTGAATCTGATGGCTGTGGGAAAACGGAGTTTGTAAGAATAAGTCAAGAACTTTGAGCCGTAATTACTCAGCACAGTGGACTACACTATACAGTTTAGTTTATATTAAACTATACAGTTTGTGCCTTACCTGATTTTGAGAAGAACTTTATGAACATGAATGTATTTTCCATCCACTAGAAATTTCAGGTCTGCAGTTTCAGGGTTGTCAAATTCCTTCTTTAGTGACTGGGCTACTGTTAGATGGTCATCAGGCTCTAGAATAAAAAGAGGAATTAATAGTAAGTAGTACAAGTACCTCTCATGATAACACCCTTGGTATCTGTCAGCAATTAACACTCTTAATAAATACAACATCTCTTTAATGCTAGCAAAAAAACCCCAGCAGACCATGTGTTCAGTATGAACCCCCCAGAAAAACAAATAAAGGGCAGCTTTCTTCAGTCCTTACTAGTTTCCTACTTCAAATATCCCTAATAAAAAAAAACAATCAAAAAAAACCTAAGTCCCATTCCACTAACTTATATAGATAAGGCCAGAAAAAAAAAATTAACACAGTCTCAGAAGTTTAATGCTGCATCTGACAGCAAATGCTATCAGTCATTACTGGGTAAATTATTCTAAATGAAAAGTGTTGGTTATTATAAGATACCCAAAAGGTCAATTAAAAAAATCACAGTAAGATCTTCTAAAATAAAAGCTATTACGTAACCAACGTATTGGTTGCAGTGAAACTGCCCAGTATAATATCCCTAAAGGTAAATACCAACAGTCACAAGTCTATTCAGAAAGTGTTTTCCCTAGACTTATGGTGTTAGAAGCACTCTGAGTGAACGTCTGCATATTCCTGTTTGTGTCATATGTACGTATATCCCACTGTGCACATGACACTTGCATTATAAAGTTACCAGACAGCCTTGAAAAGTCATCCATTGTCCACATACAAATTTGTATGTCCCGAACTGTTTCCAAATCTCCATCATATTTGGTAGCCTCAGAGAACTATCTTCTTTAATGCTACTAAAAAACATTACCCCCCCTCAAACCTCATTCTTAACCCAGAAAACATTTTGTTTTCTTACCATATAAATATACATTATTGGTTTATACAAATTTTGTGGGTCAGTAATAAGCTGTTCTCTACAGAAAATTACATAAATGTTAGGTCCTGTAACCTACCAAGCTAGAAATAAGAATAGTGTTCTGCTGGAAATGGAGAGACCTTCACCACAAGCTCTAGAAAAAACTTAACACACAGTTTGATACTGTTACACTTTGTTTAGCACAGTTATTTTTCATTTCCTTTAGAGGATGTCATTTATGTTCAGGTATACCCAATTAGGGCAACAATTATCAAAGTGTGTCAGATTACAGGTAAAAGAATTGGGGAGGTGGGCAGGGGGGGCAGAAATCCAATGTAGCAATAATAAAAATTCCTTCTGAAATAATGATACTGTAAAATACTTTGTTGATTCTTATTTTGTACGATGTGGTTTATTTATTCAGACATCTGCTATCTGAATAAGTAATAATTTTAACAATCAATGCAAAGCTTCTTCAAAGTTAACTGGCAATTCAGATGTTTGCCAATACACATCTCCAGATGACTTCTACAACCAGCAGAGATAAACTGAATATAGTGGGGTTTGGTTATGAAATTCTCAGAGGGTAAATAGGTGCTTTTATTTGTTACAGCAGTGAAGGGGGAACCAGGGGAAGGAAATGAAGAGGCAGTTCACACTGACAAGGCACAAAGCCAAGAAATCTCCTTAGCAGCCAGTGCTAAGAATTGTAATAGAAATGTTAGAACTGCCACAAACGGGGAATGAATGGGAAAGCCTGGGTGTGGAAGCACCAGAATACAACAGACGGAAAAGGGCTGTAAGCATGGCAGATGTCCATGGCACCTAGTTAAGCAGATGTTAAGATCCTAGGATGCAAGCTGCCTGATGATTCTCACCACACCTAGATGAGGAGACAAACAACAGTGAGTCAGTCCTGACGACTCGCCAAGGTCGGACAGGATGAAGAGAATAGTCACTCTCAGCTCCTAGAGCGTGCAAAAACACACTTCCGAAACCAGCAGAGAGTCACCTAACTAAAAGGAATCCAGGAGACATGATGAGGGCCTGATAGCCAGCATCCTTTATCCTGTGTCATCACAAGGAACCCTGCTCAGACCACCTGAATACATATTTTAGTGCTGGGATGCTGGACAGACCACTTGGCACACATGAGAATGTGGGTTCAAAAGTGCATCTGAAATTACTTTTGTTTAAAAATAAAATAATCTTTTCCTCCTGTAGGGTTTCACCTTGTGCTTTGCTACAAGGTTGCTACAGTGCTGCAGCATCTTTCCAAAGGGACCAAGAAGTCAAGGTCAAAAAGACAAAAATAAAGGGAGCTGCTACAGTCAAAAATGACTCCCAAGGTGTGAAGCAGTACATGGCTGGGTGTATTGTTCATGGTGACAAGGAAGGTGGGGATAAAAGATGTGTTGGGAAACAGTTATAAATGTAGTCTTAACCACGCTGTGTTAAAGAGAGTGAATATCTGAGTATTAATGAGCAATATGCTTATTAATAAATGGGTTGCTTGGAAGTCTTTAACATAAAGGTGATAATTACAAGAATGATCATATATAATCCCACTCAGGACTCTTTCAGGTGACCTACAACAGCATTTCTGACCTAAACCAGCATTTATAAAAAGATAAGAAAAGGTGAATTTGCAGAAAGGAGCACTGAAAAACTGTAACAGACAGTTTCAGTCTCACTCAAGCAGTTGTATTCTCCATGAGGAACGAAGGAACGAGGCAGGTTTTGTTTCTTGCCTTCCTCCACTCTCCTTTGAAAAATTGCTCAATACTCTGCACTAAACTGAGAAGAAAAGGCAAGAGGAAAAGTGGAGGGGAAATTCTGACTGCATGAAGTAATACTTTAACATGGCAAGAAGAAATGGAAGCTGAAGAGTCCCAGAACCCTGCTAATATACATAAGATGATCCATATAACTGAATTTAGGATTAAGCTACATATAATAATAATGTCCCATTTCCTTCATAAAATAACCAGTTCTTATGGAAGAAAAATCTGAACATACTACAGATACTTTTACGTAGAACTTACGACTGACAAACACATATTTACATGGAATGAACACCCCATTGCCTGGGATTTTAGTGCAGTAACACAATTTACATCTAATCAGTAGTAGGCAAATATTAGGAAAATTAAGAATTGCCACAGTAATTAAGCGTATATCTTACAGTTCTGAACAAGCCACCCTAGAAAGCACAACTGCCTCAACCTAGAGAAAATGGGGGTCTTTGGACTGTGCCCTAAAACATGAATTTTGGCAAAGCAGTTTCCTGAGAACAGGATTCTCCATATAATCCTCTAGTTTCTCAAAGATGAAATGTGAGTACTATTAACAGAATTTCCTTACCTTGGCATCCAGAAGGCACCAAGGGAGTAAAAAGCGTTCTATAATTGTCAGGCAAAAGCATAGAGCAACACAAAAGCCATTACAAAGGCAGTACAGAAGTGGAATGGAAACATGATAGACTCAGTACAGTTCAAATCACAAATTAAGAAGTTGCTGCATTCTAACTTTTAACTTAAGCTCCAGATGACACCTACAGACAATCCCAAGAGTCTCAACTTTGATTAGGTCAACAAAGCCAGTAACTTTATTAACAACCAATAGGGAATTGAATTTGTAGCTGAAGAATGAGCTCTCTGTTAGACAATGCTATATACTCTTTCTAGTCAAGGCCAGCAAGACAGACCTTAACATTAATCGAATATCTGAGATCCAGCAACTTGTCTCTTCAGAAGCCCAGGTCATGATCACTTGTGATAAGATTCTAAGTGCCTGTGGCCAATTCTGAACATGGGAATTTGGCTCCCTCAATTCTTAATAGTCTACTTAAGGGCATCAAAGAAAGCTTCAGGGTTCCTAAACATTCTGCATGGCTCCCTCAAGCCTCCGAATTCAAAATCAGCTTCTCCACCCATGGCCCCTGTACAGTAACATTCAGTGGTTACACAAAAATCACCTCTCCAAACCCAAGGCACTTCCCCATAGAAATAAATCATGTCAACAAAAGAGACAATCATTTAGCACTGCCATCAGGCCTTAGCAATTTTTACAATTCCATATTACCATTTACACATATGTAATGTATGATTATGATTATGATTCCCAGTATAACTTTTTGCAAGAAACTAAGCTTAGACTTCAAAAACATGCAACTGTTTTATGCACTAATGATTTTATTTAGAAGATGTCAAAACAAAAGATATTTAAGCTCACCTACTGATAGAAGACGCCACATAACAGCAGGGGTAGCAAAGCAAGCAAACACATCGTCAGTGCAGGCAAAGTGAGTGAGGTGGGGAAGGATCACTGACTGCCCACGGCATTGGCCCCACATGTACACCTGGCCGCTCTGGGTCTTGGCAGCTGACGTGTGAGCAGAGTGGCAGGCTGCAATCTCTATAACTCTGAATTTACAAGCAGAGAAAAAAGCAAGTCACTCTCAGAAGAACAAAATGCAGTGAAGAAGCTCACTACTTCCTGTATTTCCCTGGTGCAAAACTTATTTGTAAGCACGCATGCACTTCCAATTGCAAGGATGTTTTCCAATCATATATAGCAAAATTAAATGGGCTATCAATGTTTCTTCAAATAGCAAGCACTCTGAAAGTTTTTCAGTGAAACAGCATCTTGGGAGTAAGGAGACACTGTTTCAGCAGAGCAGTATATCTGCTGCGGTACATGCTCTACTGACCCCCTTGGCTCCCTCAAACAAAGCTATGACAAGTTTCAAGTCTCTGAATGTCCTCAGTAGTGCTGGGCAGTGAGGCGAGGGGCTGCATTAAGCTGTAGAGAACAGGTACTTGGAGAAGATGAAGAAGAAAATGAGGAGGCGTTTCAAAACAGAACAAAAACCAAAAAAACAAAACAACAAACATAAAACCAAAACAACCAACGGAATTTGTATTTTGGTTTATAATTGAAAGTTAATGAAAAACTTTTTCCTGCTTATTGGTAACAGTTATAAACCAACAATTTAAACATACTTCTTTTGATTAAAATACTGAAGTGTCATTATTCATACAATTATTATTACTTATGTTTAATGGGCTTTCATTTTGAAAATTAAAAATTAGAACCAAACAGCACTAAAAGCTGTTTCTAAGTGTATTTTAGCTATGTTAAGCTTTCTCACTAATGTTAAAGTTTATTTAGGATTTCAAAACTCACACTGTGTACAACATTACACAATCCACTGTTTTGCAGTCTGAACTACTGCTTGTTTGCTTATTTTCCCAGCTGCCTGGGGAAAATAGCTGGGAAACAACTTGTTTAAAGCTGTATGTTCAAATCTTGGAGGCTTTAGTGAGTTAATACTCTCACTGACACCAGGAATGCATATTCTGGCCAACAAAAGGGAAAGGCAGCATAGAACATTAAAACTTGTATTAAAATGTGGTAACATTGTAACTGCAGCCAAAGTGTCTGGAAAAAATTCAGTTAGTTACATTTTAAGCAAAAGCACAAACACACATAAAGAAATTGCAGTGTTCAAAAACAGGCATTGTCTCATCACCAGAGAGGAGTTCCTTCTTCCTTACAATAATGTACACAGGCACAAGTTTAAGAGGGACATCTCACTTTTCTTATTATTCACAACAGGAGGCCAAAATCAAGACCTCAGTAGTAAAGGAATAGACTCAAATTTCTGGCCACATATATACATGGCTTTACATCAGCAATAGAAATAACTGCCCCACTACCCATCAAGGACTTACAGGAAAATACTTAACTTACAAAAATCTAAGCTTAATTTTCAGGGAATAAGACCAAGAAAGAACTCCTCCCTTTCTCTCTCTCCTGGGTTATAAGCCGGATTTAATAGCAGAAATAACACAGATTGCAGATGTCCACTCTTCGCTTTTTCTGTGTGTACTTGTTGTCAAAAGTAGCATATTAAAATATAATTTGTATTCAGACACAATAAAGCTTTTATCATTGGTTTCAAACAATGAAACTATACCACCGAAGAGAAACAGCAATTAAGGCCTATAAAGCACAGCGTGAGCCGAAGGAAAAAATAGCACATTCAGGCTCAGAACATTCAGTTTCTCTTTCACAAGGATGGCTATGGGGCAGATACAAGCACTTTCAGTGAAAATTTTTTTCACATTTAGCAGAAGAACCATTGCAAAAAATTATAGGCTATTTCTTCCAAAAAACAGATTAAAAATGCCATAATTTTCTGTAGTTCTTCTGAGAGTATGCCAACTAACGTCTGACTGTAAAAGTATTACCTGTCCTTATCCACAATAACTGTTGTAGGGTAAGACTGGTTACTTTTATTCCCAGTGCCTAACTGGCCATATGAATTGGCTCCCCAGGCATAAATCTGACCTTCATCTGTTAGCACTAACGTATGCGCATAGCCACAGGCAACCTAAGGAATAATAAAAAGAAACATCTCATTTTTTGTAACAGTAAGTTCATACAGATAGATACATGTTATGTTATACATTAATGATCTTATACCAATATAAAAATTACAAAAATTACAAATACAGATAAGTTTATTAAAAAGGGAAGCAAAGTAGATGAGGTGACTTTGAGGAAAAAAAAAATGTATCAGTGAGGAACCCTGCCAGATAATCTCAAGACTGAAGCAAAATAGCTAGAAATTGAGAAAGAAGGAAAGCTATATGACAAATATGAACACCTTGCAGAAAAAAAAACGCAGAAAAAGGCAGATCATCTGTCTTGGCTCACCTTGCAATATGGGCAAGTGCCCCAACGTGAACAGCTTACCAGTGTAAAAACAGGTGAGGTCTCCCTCTCTGCTCCTCTCCTCCCTGACTGCCAGCCACACAAAACTGTCCCCTGCCTGTGCAAGCTCTAGCACGCACCAGACCCTCTGCTGAAATAACTTACATCACTGGAAGGAAACTCTCCACAGCTGGGCCCGAGGACCACCAGTGCTCATGCAAGGTAAGCAACAGCCAGCCAGGAAAGAGAGGGAAGAGATGAAACTCTCCATCTTGATGGCAGCACATAACTGCGTCTGCTCATACCCTCTTGTGGAAACCAACTTGGTCTTCCTGAGCTGCCTCCTCAGGTACTCCACATAAGGTTGCTTGAATATCCACTTTACAATCTATATATGCAGCACATGCTGCACATACAGATACACAGTGGCAAAATTACCAGCAACAGCCTTGCTCTGCATGAGTTAATGTAACCCATTATAGCTAGATGGCTATCAAGAACCAATTTACGTTGTTCAAAACTAGCTCACCTATCTTTATGTAATCTGCAAAGCAGATATACCATAAGTACATATAGTCCACTGACATCCGTGAAGCATGTGATGTGCTTTAAATGAAATAAATCCTGAAGTTATTTACTGATTGGAAGTCTACGACTTGGCATGAATTGATATCAAGCAAATGAAGTAGATGGAAATAGGAGCCCTCACACTTTCTAAACAGGAGAAAAAATACAGCGGAAAATAATATTCACTTTATTATGTTATTCTCCAACAGCAATTGTTACTAGCAAAGCTACTGTCTACATCCTAGGAACTGAATGTAAAACTATGTAATTAAATAAGTTTATTTTAAAAGATTTATAAAATCTGTAACTTCCCTGAGTAAATGTAATAAATGGGATCCAAAGTTCAAAACACTCTTGTAAATTTTCAGTAGGTTACAAAACCAATGTTTTCTAGCAGAATGTGTCATTTTCCTGACAATATCCTCTATCTTGGATAAATAATTAAAAAGCTTCAGTATCAGTTCTGCAGTTACTTTAAATATTTCTTATCAGTCAGAAGTTACCAGTCTGCTAATTATACTGATGGCAGCCCAGCTATCTGGTAAAGTGTAATAACCACCCAAGATCAAGACTAACCATGGAATCATACCAACTGTTGACCAAAAGCAGTTGGACACAATTTGTTCAGACTCCAAACACCAGTTAGTCACTGTGGCTGGAGTGTGATTCTAAAAGTGATATTCCGTCCAGTCTGCCAGAAAGACAAAATGCTAAACTGCAGCATTTTCCCAGAAAAGACGACAAGGGTTAATGAAGAATGGGGTAGCCTATGAAGGCTTTCTTATTTACTAAAATAACAGGAAATTTCTTTTTATTAAGTTTCACAGGAAAAAAAAAAAAGACCAAACACTTCTAATGGACTAGTCCTCTTTAATAAAATCCTGACCTCACTGAAGTCAATGGCAAAATTCCCACTGAACTCCACAGTTTCGCCCCTACTGACAGAGCTCCAATTTAAGATACATGTTTTTATTCTGATAAATAGCACTTTAAACAAAGAGATAAAGGACTATCTCCTTTAAATGTAGGATATGCCTTATCATGTTTTCAGTTGTTCAAAAAGGGTTTGACATGGAGCATCACACACATACCCGCTGTACACGAATGCCTTGCAAAGCTGCTATTCGGCATGGTGTTGGCTGATTGCCGCTGCTGCCCAGTCCAAGCTGGCCATTACCATTGTAACCCCAGACATAGACCTTCAAAACAGAGACAAGGATTTTAACTGTTTGCTACTATCTACTTCTTTTGAAAGCAATGTAACTGCTTCAGAGTTACAGTAACAATTTTCTTCAATATTTCCTGTCCCTGCAGCTTAGGATCTGTACTTTATGTGTAGATACACACAAACACATACCTATATAAACCTACATGTATACATACACATATATACACACACATACACACACACGTATATGTTTTTCTGCACTGCAAATTTTGGATGCTGTTTCTGTTTAAAATACCAAATCCATGCTCATCTAAAATTCTAAACTTCCATATTCATGTTTCTCTTTAAGAGTTAGATTATGTAAGACTACAATATTTTAATATAAAGAGTAGAAAATAAGTGATTCATATGGCTGTTTCCCAGCACAGAGCAAATTCAGCATGAATACTTCCCTTTTTCAAAGAGCTAATTTCTCATTCAAAAATCCTCTAACAGAAAAGAAAACACACTAAAACAAGTATAAACTGGAAGCTATGCACAACAGTTTGAGTAGGCTGTTAACAGCTTTATGCTGAACATAAGAAAAAGGGAAAATACTGAGCTCTGGTAATTTCAGTGACATATGTTTTACTGCAAACAGTCAATAGTTACTTAGGTCTAAACTGAAATGCTTGGAGCGATGGAGCTAGAGAGGACATAGGCTGCCCAAAATGTTCAAGCTCTATAAACTAAAACAACAAGAACACTACAACCTCTTTGAATCTTTGCAATGAGGATAAAAAAGCATGAGAGGGATTTAAGGGGTACTGCAGTAGAACAAATACATGCAATATACTTTTATTTCCTCTGTTTTGTCTTGCCATAAAGCGTGCATATATGAGTACTGAAAATTAAAATAGCATTCACTGATTATTCTCACATTCTTGATGCTTAAGATTCTAGTATAGACAATAATTTATTTTTCTATGAATGCTAAAGACAGCAGTGGGATAATATATTAAGCAGCATTTTCATTTTTCCTAGAATATAATACCAGCTCTAAAAATCAGTAAATCAGTGACACATACTTAGTTATTTTTACATACGAGAAAATGAAGCTAGCATAAAATGCTAAGTATACATATACAGATTCGATATGATTTAATCCCCAAATTTATAAAAATCTCCTGACCTTCACAATGCTATTTTTACTTCAGAACTGTATTCTTAAGTAAATTTGAAATTTGATACTTGAATTCCTTCAACACAAAGCCAACTTCAATAGTTGATACAAAGTAACAGCTGCTAAATTTTATGAGTAATCTCATAAACCAAAAAGCCATAAACCAAACGTTAGTGAACAATTTTCCCTGTTTCACTCTACCTCCTTTCTAAAGGAGAAACCATAATCAGCATGGATAGAAAGACATGCTTAAGTATGTCAGCACGTGCAGGACAATTTATGAGAAAGGTTTTTATAAGCAGTATAAGCAGGTAGATTTGAGGGAGTCTGGAAAGGCATACTTCTTTTCTGAGCAGTAGCTCATTACTGACAGGTTGGAAAATATCTACATCCCATGATATTACATAAAATAAAATCCAGTCAGAAAATTCGCTTAAAATTTCTTACCTCTCCATTTTCCACCACAGCCATAGAGCACATCTGTCCACAAGCTATATTAACTACTATTTTATTTTGTAGGCAGCTGGTAACTCTTCGAGGAATTGGTTGATTAGCTGTTGAACCAGATCCAACTTGGCCTGAGTTATTATAACCCCATGTGTATACCTGTTGTAACAGAATTGCCATAATGGAAGGCTATATAACATACAGTTCAAAGTACATATTCAAGAGAGAAAAAAGATATATGCATAAAAAAATTACATTTTGAGTTCAAGTCAATGTATTCTTTTAAAGATGTAGGAAGACACATAGGTTTACAATTTATATGTTTCTATCAAAAATATGTCACTCATAATATTTATATATTCCATTCTTTTATGTTCCTCCAATCAAAGGTAAGAGGCAACATGACAGCTGCATTAATGCTGGAAGAATCCATTGCTAGTTTTCCAGAACTCAAAGTAGAATGGCTAACTGGGCACAAATGGCACCTCAAAGTAAATGACAAAACTTTTTACTTTGGTGGATAGAACTCCTTAAATGAACGTGATTTATATTAATGTCAGCTTTAACGCCATTAAGTATAGCATAGAAAGGAGCAGGCTGCCCTCTGAAAAGAAATTCTAATCTGTTATTACAAGCATGTGGCACAAAAATCAATGTTCTGCATGCACCTCAAAGCAGCTAGACCCTAACATGTTTTCCATTTTTAATCAAACATTTGTGTTGCATCAGCAAGAAGCAAGGTCTAATGCTCTAGGTGCAGAATGTTTTCCTGTTTCTCATATACATGAATTTCATTAAGAGAAAAGAGGGATTTATTCCAGCTGTTCTCACCTCTCCATCAGATGTTAAGACCATAGAATGATGAGAGCCACAAGCAACTTCAATGACTTTCTTGTTCACCAAGTTAGTAGAGACTTGACATGGAACGAAACCATGATTTGTTGTACCATTGCCCAACTGACTATAAGCATTATGACCCCATGTATACACTTCTCCTTCTGTAATAAAAATGTAAAAAGCTGCTTTAAAGTCTCTACTTTTCCAATGAGTACACAACATAAAATTACAAAATGAAAAGTCAAATTCAATAACAATATACATATTTAAGTGTGTGTGTATATATATATATGCCCTTTGGGGCTCTTAAGCCCATGGACATATCAATGCTACTTTTACACAGAGTTGACCACAAATCCAAAAGGATAGTATTCACCATAATCTTAATAAAGGAAGTCATATAGCTAAAAGAAAGGACATAGTGCAATACAGACAAGAAAAGGATCAAATGACAGTCAGGAGTCCCCATTTGAATTTCTTTGTTACTGACAATCAGTCAAAATTTCTTGTCTATGCCCTGGCACTGCTTCCCACTTTGGAAAATTCAAGTAACAAGCTTTCATTCCTTTACAATATACATGAAAATACTTGTAAGAAAAACTTATTATTACTCATTAATAAACGTACTATTATTTACTTATGATTAAAACATACTATTCATGTCTTGTATTTTGAGAAACATGCTAGTAAAATTAAGAATACAAGAAATGTCTGCCTGGGTTAGACCGATGGTTCACCTAGTGCAAAATTCTGTCTCCAAGTGGCAATAGAAAAAAGCTGCTGTTTAAGAGAAACATGAGCATGGTCACTTTTTGCTGTTCCCAAGCATTTACAATCACTAGGCTACAGGTATTATCAGGTGCTTCAAATTCTTCTTAATGTACATATATTGGCCCGTTATCCATGAAGCTAACACCTTTCTGTACTCACTTTCTTCCATCTGTTTTAAATCAAGTGTCCTTTAGTTACAGTAGTGCAGGACTTGATGAATAGCTGTCCTACATTCATCTTTTCTATCATCATCATCATTTTCTAAACCTAAATTATGTCGTTATTGCAGGAGAGATAGGTTTGACAGACAACTCCATCAGATTTCTAAAGAGATCACAAAACTTGCTATCCCTAAGAAGGGTTCCCTCAGAACTACAAAGGCAACTATTGGTTTAGTGTAGCACACTTTCTCTACAATAACAGGTTAAATCTAATGACTTTATCCTGTCAAAAGCAAACAACCTTCTCTTCCTTTCACCAACATGAGAATACAAATTTCAGTAAAGAGGTGAAACAGCCACATAGAAACATACAACAAAGACTGGAAATTACAGTAATTAACCCAAGAACTGCGAAATACTTAATGGCTGTCTGAAAGGTAGGTTAAAAGAGGCTGTGCTGAATGGAAGTTATTCATGTGAATGGAGTTACGAGTAAAAATCATCAAGGATCAGTTCTGCACCTGTTCTTTTGCAATACTTCAGTTCATCATCTGGGTAAGGAGTATGAGCGTGCCAGTGAGCTGTGCCAGCAACAAAGCTCAGAAGAATACAGATACATATATAAAAAGCATCCAGAATGGTCTACCCTGAAGACTGGAGGAAATGGTGGAAGGTAACTGAATATAAAGAACAGTTGCACCTTTACAACACAATTCCCCTCACCTACCTTTGGTGATCTAATCTAGACTACTCAAAAAGATTTCTTCTTATTAACAGAGAAAGAGAGACAAATGTTAATCATCAGTCAGGTTCTAACAGAACCTCACTTGGGAACACAATATTAGTCGTTTGTCTTTGAGAATAATGTACTTAATTATGAACAGAAGGGCCACTAGCATGATGTGGATAATAGAGTGTCAATGAGACAATGGAAAACAAAAGGCTAAGAGGCAATATAACTGGACTTCAAAGCACATCCCAAAGTAGGTACAGGAGGGCAAAAAATGCATTTTAGCTAAAGGACAATGTTGGCACAAGAACACATGGGCGTAATGTAGCCACTAATGCAGTTCAAAAGCAATCAGAAGTTCCAAACTTAATTGCAAAGTAAAAAAAACTTCCAAAAGTAGTAACAAGATCAAAGCAGAGCTTGAAAAACTTTGAAGAGAACAAGCTATGGACAGAGCTAGCTGACATGTCATATTCACCAATGAAAATATGTTGGACTTGATAGCCTGGAATGTCTATCCCAATTCTCTCTTTTATGTTACCAGCACAGACCTTTCACACCTACTGGACTAATTAAAGTGGACTATCTGAAAAAGCAATATTCAGATCATACTTTACCTTCTGTAGCAAGAACAACATGAGGGCCACTTCCATAACTCAGACAGGCTATCTTTTTGCCACATAGAGAATCTAACCTCCTTGGTTCAATAGTGCTCTGCATGTCACCTGTTCCCAAACACCCACTGCAGTTCATGCCAAGCACAAAAACCTGTTATAAAAGAATCACAGAATCACAGTTTAGAGTGGAATGGAGGACCTCCTCCAAAGGTCAGCTATTCCAGCCTCCTGCTCAACAAAGGTCTAAATAGATCAGTTGACTCAAGGCCATGTCCAGTTGGGTCTTGAACACCTCCAAGGAAAAGATTTCACAACCCCTCCAGGATTTAACCACTCTCATGGTAATTTTTATTTCCCTAATGCTGAATCAGAATTTTCCATCTTTCAGCTTGTGCCTACTGCCTCACAACCTGTCACTATGCACCTTCAAGAAATGTCTAACTCCATCTTCTCTTTGTCTTCTGATTGTGGTAGGAAGCCATGAATTTGAATTGAAAATGGTTTAGTAGCAATCAAAATGATCAGACATTTTTGCATGCAACTTTTTCTAGGTATACTATCATAGTACTGGCTTTCAGAATAACTTGATACATGAATGACTAAATATGTCATGTTCACACACACTCTTGGACAATTACCTCATCATTTTCAGTTGCATACAAGACTTCATTACCAGCACTGCCAAATACACAGGCTTGACGAATTAACTTGAGCTCTTCTTGGGAACAGAGAGAAAAAATTGGCCATTTCCCAACATCCAGCATCTTCAGGGCTGACAATAATGTTGCCTCCAAGACCTGGTATTATAAAAAATGATATTAAATACCTAGACAGAGAGAAATGTGTACCTTTGCACAGTATAAAGGAAAAATTTAGAGAAATACCACTATCTCCTTTTTCAACCACAAAGCAGTATTTTAATTCTAGAACAATAATTGGAGGGAAGCCATTAAAATAAACAAATAAAATATATCGTGATCCAGAAAGAAAGGATCTATATGCATGGAGAAAAGTACCATATAAGAAGTTAAATGGTGAGGTCGTATTTTCACTATATCCATACAACATAACTGCTAGCTTATAGAACTCAATGTATAGGATTCTAATATAAAACATAAAGTATACATTCAAAACTTGAGAATAATTTGTGCCTTTTCCTCTGGTGCTAAAATTACTGTTAAAAGAAGAAACCATAAAAAAATCTGCCCAAGAATATATTTATCTTTGAAAAATATACACATTTGTTTTCAAGCATTGAAAACGGAAACTTGAGAAAACTTGAGAAACTTTTTCCTTTCTCCTTTACTTCCGAAATTTACGTCTGTGTTTCAACAATTACTGAATCTTTGGGAACTTTCTAAGAATATCTGCATTTTATGCAACTGGACATATAATAAAAGAAAAAAGATAATTGAACATTTTCTAGCTTATCCAAGGACAAATAACAAGTTCATAGTTAATGGAAAAGAGTAACAACAGGTCTCTCCAGACATTAAAACTAGTCAAGCCAATGACCAAATCTCATGCAACATTTTTACTGCTTTAGTATAGCATAAATCAGAAAAATGTTGCAGTATCAAAATTTAATAGCAAATTTTGCATGGAGCATGCATCAAATTTTCTTTACTGAAAGTAAAACAGGCTTTGGACATGAAAGAAAAGCCGCATTACTTGCCAGATCAGAAGGTAAGTAAGAACAGATTTTGCCTATCACAGGCGTTACGTAGTTCACCATGTAACAGTTTATTTCTAGCAAGTAGCAGACTTATAAAGTGATCTGTCACAGAACATAATTTTTTCTACCTCTAACTGAAACAAAGTTGTGAATAAATTCTAGTTTGGAGTCTGAAGCACCTTACGTCAGTTGTAAGGATATTGCTTTTTTGATTAGTATCGCTTACTATGAAAAAATGTACACAGAAACATAGATAATATTTGAAACTACAGAAATAAACCCTAAATTAACCCTGAACTAAAATCTTTAAGCAAATAGCAGTTAATCACACATTTCTTTATAATATACTCCTGAGGAAGGCAAAGGAGGGTTGGTCATCTTCACTAAAGAAAAGTTGCGGTTTTGATCACACCAGTCCTTTCCCCATCTCCTCACACGAGTAACTGACCAATTTCAGCCAAATTTGCAAGTGAAAGGGAAGTAAGATTCCACTGACACAATCCATTTGGCAGGTAGGCAGCTGGACAATCAGACATATACGTTATGAAATAAGCCAGAGAGCAAGTAGGTCCTAGCAAATGCTTTCCTCCATGACACATAGCTGGGTTATAAGAGACAAAGGACATAAATCCATATGGAATCAGGCTTCATTCATCTGCTGTTTGCAGAAGAATTTGTTTTATGTCAAGAGGGTAGCATTAATTCCATGAAGGATTTGAGGCACTTTTAAAATATAATAATGAATACTGAAAGCATCACAGGCTACTCCTTCCAATCACATTGAGAAAACTGCATCCCACTTTTTCTCAAGACTGATGAAGCCTGAGGTTCAAAAGAACAGTCAGGGTGTCCTTCAGTTGTACAGATTCCCTTACTGGAATAACATATCGGTTTTTTTATAATGTGGGCTCTAAATTCCAAGTGCACAGTGGGTCAGAACCCATTCATCTTAAATGTAATTTTTTTTTTCCTGTAACCTTCTACAAAGCACTCATGTTCTACCCTCATAATTAACAGGTTAAAAATGCCCAAACTGTAGGATTTCTTAACACTAAAATAATACACTGAAGGAAAAAACCCAAACTACAATTATAAAAAGCACCAAAGGAAACACTTATGATACTGACTTTTTTTTAACAAAAGAAATAACAAACTTTATCAGACTAAAAAATATCCACAATCTAAATCTCGTCTCTGGAATTATTGGTTACATTCAACTCAGTAAGAGATACTCTCTCACCTTTCAAGATTTTCTCTCCTACCACACTTCATTATATTTTGTCCCAAAAATATGAAAAACAGCTTGAACTATCAGCCTACCAATATTTATGTCCCATAAACGGTCAGTTCCCTCATTATATTGCACAAAATCATGAAAGACTGAGACCAGAATTTGAGATTTCATATGGTCCAGCTACCTATCCCAAAGGTGTATCAGTCATACCTCAAGAAGAACTTCTACACTTCATTTGACCTCAGCAATCAGTTTGAAAGCTGGTTATTCAGTTTTGTTTGTCATACAGCACCTTAAAAGGCATCATCATTAAGCTCAAAATCTGAATGATTTTTCATTAAGTTTTACATGCAGAGTGTTCAAAGAAAGTAAAAGAGGAAAACGGGAGGAAGTTTTTGCTTCAAATTATGCTACAAAAGTTACTTCTAACAAGTTTATGTTGTTGAAACATTAGGCTGGAACATGTAACTTCAGAACTTAATATTAAATTAAATCACCCTTGTAAGCCAAAGGAGCAACTCGACCTAATTAAAATGAATATATTGTTCTTCTAATATCTTGTGGATCACATAAGCAACATTTCTTTTGCTAATATCATTTTTCTACCTATAGCTTTGGTTTTCTGTTTATCTTGAAAGCTACTAGTATGTACTAAGCTACCGCTAAATAGAACCAAGCTTCTTCCTTTTAAGTAGAGCAGTACAGAATTCTCAATACAAATTCACACTCTGACCTTGACACGGACTCCTTGAGAAGGAGGAGAGTCATCGTCCATATGGATTTGTCCTTGTGTCCCCCTGCAAAGAGAGAACTGTGGTTAAAATCACCATACCATATTGCTACAACAATACTTTATGGAACTGTACATGCTTAATATTAAGCCAGAACTATTTGCTTCTGTGGGGTGAGAAAACAAGAAACACAAAGCTCAGTCAATTTTGTTTTTATATTCAACTGTACTGTGATCAGTTAGACAGACTCTGCTCTTCTGTATTCTTACCTAAAATAATAATTCTTGGACAAAACTTTTTAAGTAGTAAAATTAATCAGACTGTGATTGAAAAGGAAGAAGTTTTATCAAACACAATACTCCAGTGTCTTTTTATTGCAGTAAAAATAAATTCAGAACCTTGCTGACATAATTTTTCAAGACATTTCTTTCAGCAAAGAAAAAGGACACTGGTGGGAACTTTCCACTTCTGGCTTAAGCCTTCAAATGCTCTTATTCCAGTTCCATTCTGAAAACCAACGTTAGAAAAACATCTGGGTCTTTTCAGGTTTACTGAGAATTGTTAAAATATTCACTCTGCTTCAGAAAATATTGCCAAACCTGTAAATTGTATAATTTCTATGACGTGCATTATCAATAGAAACAGATTTTCAGATCGGACATTTCTTCACAAATAAATGTGCACAACTTTAATGTCCTTAAATTATTTCCTAACACAAAGCCATGCAACGCCATTTTCAGTAATACTGCAAAAATGAGTAAGCAGCTCTGAAGCTGTGCAAGCTTCTTTTACTCAACAAGTGAGAAAGTTGTACACATCATTTTCTTTGAGGTACATTGGTTCAGCCAAGGCTTAAAATCTGTTTACTTATCATTTAAAATTAAATGTCTGTAAAATTCTGACTACAGGCCAAATAACATCCAACAAACAAGAAGCTACCATTTTACTTAGCTACTTTTCAGAGGAATACCACACTAAAAGAAGTGTCAAATGTAGCTTTATAAAACTACCTCACTTACTACTAAACAAGCCTCTTACGTAAGACTTCATGGCATAAGACCTAGGCCAAGGACACAGAATACATGAAATTCATGATTTAAATATTACAAATGTTAATGATTTAACAAATATAATTTAATTTACTGAATAAACAAAAATTATTTTTATTTACTTAAAATGAATAAAAAAACTGAACAACTGCTGCAGCTCAATTATACTGAATATGCACACTGTTAAGCTTATGCTTTAACAAAACCCACAAATCTACATACACACAGTGTATTTTATACACTTAATTTTGAGACATTAAATGATAAATTCAGCTTATATGTGAAAGTCTAGCTACTCTTTTGTCCATGTTGACTTTGATCTTAAGGCTCAAACACAGAACCAAACTGAAATAACTTGAAGCTAAGTTATATTCCCTTTCAACTAAGAAAGACTAAAAGGCTGATTCAGTTGCCCACACATTAGCACGTACTGCTATTTGAGGTGACCTTGGGGATCCCCGACACCGAACGGTGCTGTCAGATGTAATACAGGACCTATAGGGTATCCATGCCATGCGCAACAGCTAAGAACTAAATGGCACTAGAAAGTTATGCATGAGCAACAAAACAGAGCTCTGAACAAGCAGGCATAGCCATTCACCATACTTTACAACTTAATAGATACAGGGTAACTTGTTAAGCTCTTGCTGTTAAGCCATTTGTTATTTTCTTCAACATACTTGTTCAAACAACAAGAAGGCAACCAGTTGATTTTGTGTACATTACCTCTATTTAAAATAGAAACAACTCACCTAATTAAGGCCTTTGGCATGACCACAGCCTGAGCAGGACTGTATTAGTGAACTGCAGTTCTGAGACATTTAATTTCAAGTATGTGAGTAGTCCTACTGTGAAACTGATTATCAAGGCTATCCAATATTTTGTAGCACCAATTTCCAGCACTCCTTAGCAATGCTGATATATGTTACCCACTTCTTGGCCATGCTTAGCCTACACTCAGCCCACAGGGCTGACATATCCCCCAAGAGAGTAACTATTAACTATGAATTTTCTAATTGAAATAAATGTAGAATTCTGTATTTCCTTCCCCAGGCCATTCAATACATAACTGATACCCAGGATTCTTCAA